TGGGAAACTGGGCTCCCCGACGCCGTGCCACCCCCGCCCCGGGGCGGTGGAGAGCGTGGCCTAGAGCAGAGCTGGGGTGGCGCCTTAGCGGGAACCAGGCAAGTCCCGCCTCCCGGAGCCCCTGGGCAGCGAAGTGGGGGTCAGTCCTCCGCGCTGCGGGGAGTCACATTAGAGTCGTGCTCCTTCTTCTCAGCAGGGCCCTGAGCTCGGGAAGGAAGGCGATTAGGAATTCATTCTTTTTTTTTTTTCCATTCATTCTGCAAACATTTATTGCCTCTTCCACTCGCCAGAACCCTCAGCTCCCCTGCCCACAGGTCCCGCTGTCCGAGGAGAAGGGAGCTGGGTGGACAGGCAGCCCACCTCTCTAGCGCTGGCAAATCACAAGGTTGAGTGAAGGAAGCCACGTTCCCAAGTGCAACCCCCAGCGTCGGGGAGGAGACCTGGGGGTGAAGTCAGTGCTCCTGCCATCACCCCTGCCCTCCAGCCCAGCCCTGGCTGTTGTCCCTAACCATGGGGTTCCAGTATCTGTCATTTCACCCCAACGGAGGCAGGGAGGTCAGAGACCAGGGGTGGGGACAGAGGTCGGGAACCTGCAGTGGCCGGGCAGAGTGCAGGGTGGGGCTGCTGGCCTCTCTTCTCTGGTCTCCCTCAACCCGGAGACGCGGGTATGGAGGAACGGGGTCTGCTCCCTGCAGCCACAGGAGACATTCCGGTTGTTCCCAACCACCCTGGTCCCCCAGACAAGGTGAGGCTCGTGCCCGGAGGGGCTTCCTGGCGGTTGAGGGGCTGGAAGACTAGCAGCCGGGACCTCCTGTCCCGAGGCCTGGCACCTGTCGGGCCAGGAGAGTGTGTCCTCATCTTGCCTGCCTGCCGTCTGTCCTCCGCCTTCCTGGGAGTTCCCCTCCCTGCAGGGCAGTTGTGTGGTAGGAGGGTGTGTACACACACACACACACCACACACCACACACACGGATGTGTCAGTCATGCTGGCGGGAGGAGTGGTAGTGGGGGTGGTCCCGGGTTCAAGGCAGATGAGCTAGAAGAGGAAAGGCCAGCTTTTCAGATGCAGGTTTCAGAAACTCCCCTCACCTATATTCTAGTCTTTTCTGGGACTTTCCTCAGATGGCTGTGGGCGGAGCTTCCTGGTGGAGGAACAAGTGTAACCAGACTCCTGACTTCCTTAGAAAGGGTGGCTCCCTCCTCAATGAAAAATCCGGGATAATCATTCCTCCGGGGATTAAATGAGGTGACCTGTATGACACATGTGAATCTGATGGATGTTCTCTCTCCGGCTGGTAACCCCCTTGGAAAGATAGGAGAAGGCCATCTCTTCTGGGTTTCTTGGGCCTCAACCCCAAAGGTCTAGTCACTTTTTTGCTCGAGTTTATGAGTTTTGCTGTTCCTTTGGCTCTCCTGATAGAGCAGGAACGAGTGGGCTGTAAACTGCAACTCAAATGATTTGAGGAAAGGGGTAATTTCCTGAGGTTCTGGAAGGATCCGTGAAAAGGTGTGGATTCTCAAAGTCCGTGGCAGACACGAGGCATCCCACTTTGGTGCACCGTTCTGTGTGTGCCGCGTCCAGAGGGCGGGAGCATGGGCACAGAATTCTCACGATCCCCACCCCCTACGGATTCTGTTCATAGTCTCTGGATTTCTTTGTGCCTCGGTTTCCCCATCTGTATCAGCAACATGCTTGTTCCTCAGACAGATGGTGAGGATTGTACAACAACAAGTCTGTGCAGGTTGCGGGCAAGGAGTGGTGAGGGTGCTCGGTGATCTGGGTCACTGTTCTCACCATTACAGGATGCGTCACATCCTTATTGACTGTGACGGGGGCTCGCCCCAGGAGTCATGGCTGGGCCACTGAGTGCAGCTTCTACTCGTCCCACAAAAGCCAGGTTCGAAGCTCTTCTTTATTCCAGAACCCCCTCTCTTCCGGAGGACTGCTCATTCTCCGCAGGAGTGGCAGGCACTGGCATCTAACACTTTGGCCTCCTGGCTTCTGTTAGACGCGGCTGCCTGGCCAAAGTCCTTGTCTCTTACCTTGTACATGTGCTCGCTCAGGGGTTTATGCAAGACTTCTAAGTGACTTAGTGCTACCCTTTCTCTCCTTCCCAGCCCCCCGACACAGCCTCCAGACACCACTAGGGCCCCAGGGGCCAGTTGCTCTTGCTTTTAACTTGAGCAGAACACTTGACCTGGCCCAACAGGGAACAAAGACTGAGCAGGCCTGGCTGGCGTGGCTTAGTGGTTGAGCGTCAACCTCTGAACCAGGAAGTCACGGTTTGATTCCCGGTCAGGGCACATGCCCAGGTTGTGAACTTGATCCTCAGAGTGGGGCATGCAGAAGGCAGCCAATCAATGATTTTCTCTCATCATTGATGTTTCTCTCTCTCTCCCCCTCTCCCTTCCTCTCTGAAATCAATAAAAATATGTTAAAATACAAAAGACTGAGCAGGAGTGGGGGTGGGGCGGAGTTCCCCCAGGTGCTCTCTGCTGTTGCTGGTGCAGCCAGTTCCCTCCTGCGGGCCAGGAGAATGTCCTGGGTCAGCGCTTTCTATTTGCAAGAGGGATCCTTTGCCGGGACCCTGGAACAGGTCCCAGGGAGAGCAGCCTGTCCGGGAGGTGTTGCAGGGGGGAGAGATGCTCCGACGCAGATCTGGACCGTCAGGAGCTCTGCGGCTCAGACACGGACTTTGCTCTCTGCTCCACCAGCAGGAGAGGAGGCTTTTAGGTGCGTCTTGATGCCCAGGTTTCCCTCCTCCTGGAAGAATTCCTCCTTTTGGATGTCATGGGACGGAGGTAGTGGCATGCTGGCTGTAGGGGTGTTTGGTCCTGGAAGTTTCAGGTGGCCTTGCAGGGGTTCGGGGCTGCTGTTGACCCAGTTGCGAAGTGAAAGGCCACAAGTCAAAGTTCTGGGGATAAAAAGCCCAGGAGTCCCCAGTGCCTGCAGCCTGATGCTATCTCGCATTCTTCACTTGACCCAGATTGTAAATAAGCCCATTGTACAACCTCCGGCCCAGAAGTCAAAGCCCTGAGCCCAGAAGCAGCTGGGCCTTGGAGGTGTTTACTTACGACCTTTTGTCTCACCACACCCTGGGGCTCCTGGGAGGAGCTGAGGTCTGAGCAGCGTGCCAGGATGCTGCCTGTGTCAGTGCGGGCTTCCTGCCTCCTGCCTGGGTCCCGTCACAGCCGGCTTGCTCACCCATTGGGTGCCCGGGATGGAAACTGCTCTCCCTCATCTGGGAGACAGCGTGGGGCCTGTCTGCCTAGCGCCGGGGTCGGAAGCTGAAGCGGCAGCTCCCTCCTGGGGCTTTCTGTAGCCGGTCGCTGTGGGCGAGGGCAGCGCTCCATGCCCCTCAGGCCCGGGACGATGGCAGGACCAGTGGTAGGCGGGATGCTCAGGCAGTTCCACAAATGGCGATCCCGAATCCCACCAGGTCTGGACTGGATTGCCCACTTCCTTTTTCCCACGGGTGATTCTCCTCTCTGGGGCTGTTTCTTCCTTGAAACACTTCTTTTCCTTCTTCCTTTTATATCTCAACCTCCTCCTCCCATGTGACTGTGCTGGGAGGTTCCCCTGCGGGTCTTTAGAGCCTGTCATAACCCCTGGGGGGCTGGTGTGGTCACAGCCACATGGCCCGTGTGCCTCTTCTGATGCAGTGAGCACAGGTCTGCTGGGGCATGTTGCAGGTGCTGCGCTGGGCACCCTGAGGGCAGGCAGTGCCCGGGGCACAGGGCCTCCCACGGGGCTTCCCCAGTACATTTCCTCGGCTTCCAAATCAGTGCTTTCTTTTCTCCCCGTGGCTCCGCGTGGTTGCACATCCCCAGGGCCGGCGTGGAAACCACCCAGTTGGCTCTGATCCCATTCCAGGACCTTGGGTGCTGGGCCGGCTCCGGGGACCTCGGCATGGGCAGGGGGGGCCTTGAGGTGCTGAAGCTGCCTGGAGCCTCGCAGTCCCCGCTCGGGGTGTGGACCTGTGAGATCCGAGTGGGCCACGTGTCTGGTTTCAGGGTCTGTCCAGGACAGTCCGGGGGAGGCTGCAAAGGAGCCGGAGAGGGCCCCGGAGCACTGCCTGGCCACCTTCGCCGGAGGACAGCATTTCTTTGAATACCTCCTCGTGGTTTCCCTCAAAAAGAAGCGATCAGGGGAGGATTATGAGCCGACGATCACCTACCAGTTTCCCAAGGTAAGGACTTTAAGAGGGGGTGGGTTTGGGGGACGGGGGGGGGGGGGGGGGGGGTGTTTGAGAGGCGACAGGAGGGCAGGGGGTGTGTGTGTGTGCCCTGAGCTCGCCCGCTCTTGTTTCCTGTTATCACCCACAGAATCTAGGCCTGGCCTCTTTGTGAGGAGCTGACCTAGGCTCCCTGGCCGGGAATCTAGGCTAGTTCTTCCCTTTGGGGACCTCCCGGTTCTCCCAGATTCCAGCCCAGTCACCCTTCTCTGTGGAGAAGCTTACCTTCTGCCCGAGCTCCTCCCAGGCACCCCCTCCCAGGCACCCCCGTGGGAAGGAGGGGGTGGGGCAGCCCCTGGTCATGCACACGCACACACTGGGATCCTCACTGCCCCTGCCCTGGGCCACAGAGATTCTCCTTAACCCTGAAAGTGGGGCTGGTGAGCTGGCCGCTTCTCTTCTGCGAGGTGTTACCTCTGGGACGTGGTCCTCGCAGGAAGCCGAGCGGTCTCAGGGCCCTTCTGTGTTCAGGGGTGGCCTGGCCGCCTTCCTGACTACGCGGATCCTCAGACACTGAAGTCTAACTCGGGTTCATGTAGACGTGGCCCAGGACGGGCTGTTTCGGCCTTGGGGTCGGTCCAGCCAGACCCAGAACAAAGTCCCTGTGTAGAGTGACAGGCAGAGGACCCTGTGCCATGGACAAGCTTATCCTAAGACTGTGCTAGAGCCTCAAAAGAAGTCCGCCTGCCTGCGCGCCTCCTGCCCTCTCCTGCTGCCCCCTCCTGCTGCCCCTGCTGCCCCTGCCCTCCTGCCCTCTCCTGGGGCCCCTGCCTCCTGCCCTCTCCTGGGGCCCCTACGTGCACCATCAGCTCATCTCCTTTCCTATCCTTACAGCGGGAGAACCTGCTTCGGGGCCAACAGGAGGAGGAGGAACGGCTGCTCAGTGCCATCCCCTTGTTCTGCTTCCCGGATGGGAACGAGTGGGCCCCACTCACTGAGTATCCCAGGTAACTGCCGGCCCTGAGACGGGGCCTCTGGGATCGGGGCAGAAGGGCCCGTGTGAGCCTGCTGGTTCCTGTGGCCCCTCGCTTGGCCTGTATGCCCGTCTCTTACCAGCTTTCCTTCTGACGGGATGGGGCTCAGTGGATTCATATATAACCATCTTGCCTGGGGCCCTGTAAGACCAAGGATCTTGGCCCACGGGCTGACCAGTTACCTCTGAGCAGAGAAGGGCGGGATTCCCTTCCCTCCAGCTGGGAGTGACGTCTCTGGGTTTTGACTCTGCCACTGGCAGAAGCTGGGCTTAGAAGAAGGCCCTGGGCCTCTAAGAAGGTGACGTAGCAACGTCCCTTCCAGCAGGAGCCCTGGGACTCGACTGTCTGAGTTCGAGTTTTGGCTGCACGGCTAGGAGTTGAATGCCAGGCATGAGAAATGCCCTCTCCGCCTCAGTCCCTTCAACTTTAAAGCGGGGAGAACCAGCAAACTTTCCTCACAGGGCTGTTTTGAGGATTCAATGAGATGATGCCTTTGGAGGTTGACACCGATAAGCACTTACTCTCCTGGTACTAGTACCACTCTCCTAACCAGCCAGCAGCTCCCAGGTCCTCCTCGCCCCCCTCAGCGCCCCCCTGATGCCGTGCGCCTCCCCGTTGTACAGTCTAGTGCAGTGATGGCGAACCTTTTGAGCTCGGCGTGTCAGCATTTTGAAAAACCCTAACTTAACTCTGGTGCCGTGTCACATATAGAAATTTTTTGATATTTGCAACCATAGTAAAACAAAGACTTATATTTTTGATATTTATTTTATATATTTAAATGCCATTTAACAAAGAAAAATCCACCAAAAAAATGAGTTCGCGTGTCACCTCTGACACGCGTGTCATAGGTTCGCCATCACTGGACTAGTGGGCAAATGAGAGTCTCGTGTCTCTTCCTCAGGGAGACCTTCTCCTTCGTGCTGACCAACGTGGATGGGAGCAGGAAGATCGGCTACTGCAGGCGCCTCCTGGTCTGTGCAGCTCAGAACTGTCCCCTCCTCTCTGCAGCCTGCCGGCTCCTCGGGGGGCTTGCTCAGGCCTCAGCCGCACAAGCCCAGGCCCCTGGCAGTGGCGGCTGTAGAGAGCACAGCCCAGCACCCGCTGCCATGTTAGTGCCCTCTGCAGCCTGCAGAACAGGGACACGTGCCCCCTCGCCCGCCTACCCAGGGGACTCCTGCAGGCCCTGCAGTGGTCTCTGCTCTCCCAACATCCCCGTCCGGGCCTCGGTGCCATGGCCCCGGGAGCCCCCGGAGCAGAGACCGGGATTTGAACACCTGCTCTGGGCTCTCAGGATTCTCAGTGTTGTCCTCCCTCGTCCCCGCAGCACGCTGGTCCCCGCTCTTTGTCGACCCCCCATGGTGGCAGTGCTTGCTGTGAGCCCACCAGCCCCCTCACAGCCACTTTCTTTGGACTTTGGTGGCCGCTCTGGCCTCCTTGTGCCTGTCCAGGCCTTCCTCCATCCGGCCCACCTTTCACCACGCGTCCCCCAGCCGCCAGCTCGTGCCCCGCTGTCCCCGGGTGGGCGAAGGCCTGGGGGCTGCGGCCCTGAAGGAGGCTCTCTCCCCCCACAGCCCGCCGGCCGCGGCCCTCGGCTCCCCAAGGTGTACTGCATCATCAGCTGCATCGGCTGCTTCGGCCTGTTCTCCAAGGTAGGGCCGGAGCGGGATTCCTGGGCCTGCTGGGCCTGTTCTGCTGCCCGGCTGCCTGGCTGCCTGCCCAGCTGCCACCCCGCAGGTGCTCCCTCAGCGCTCAGGGAGTGCCTCCCTGTGAGCAGGGTCAGGCGAGGCCCAGGTGGGAGAACCCAGGCGGAGAGGGGCTTGGGCTGGACTTGATTTCACAGAAAAGTGAGAACTGAGTGCAGGGAACCGTCTCCCCTGCTGAGAGCCCCCGGGTCCCACCCCTCCCACTCTGGTCAGGCCAGAAAGCAGCTGGAGGGACAGGGAGGAGCCCCGGTTAGGAGTCGGGAGATATTCCATGTCTTTGTCTGTCAGATGCATATATGACCCGCGGCTTCCTATGCCACGGTTGGTGTGAGGCTCGAGCGAGGTGATCTGAGAAAGGCCGAGCTCTAAAGAGCTATGGAGACGATTATTGTACGAAGCCGGGTTCCCTCCAGGGCCTTCCAGGGCAGCAGGGGCGTTGGGGACGCCAGGACTTCTGCTGGAGCTCGCTGAGAGCCACACACCTGAGTGGGATCAGAGGGGCCCTCAGGATGGAGGGGGCGGGTCTTGGTGGCCACGAAAGGGGCTCGGTGTGCTCTGCCCCCAGCAGGCCCTGGGAGGGTGAAGGCAGGGACTCTGGCAGCCTTGCTTGGGTGGAGCGTGCATGCATGGGGGACAGAGGCTGGCCCTGGCCCTGGGCAGTATCCAGCGAAAGTTGGGGGGCAGAGTGGTGCTTGTAGGCCCTCATCCTAACCATCACGATGAACGTGGTGTCAAGTGGATGATGAGTTTACCCTGCGATGGCTTCCCGGGAAGGTAGCTTACGTTGAGGTTCGGAGAAGGGAGGCATGTGGGTTGGTCGAGGGAGGATGAGAAGAAGGAGGCCAGGAGGAAGCAGTAGACTGGTCTGTGCCAGGGAGGAGAGAGGACCCCTGGGGGAGGGGCAGAGAAGACACGGGAAGATGGGCTGGACCAGCGTGGGACCCTCACACCCGGGGCCTCTGCCGCCCTCCCCGTTGCATCCCTTTGAGCCTCGCCTCCCGGGGTCCTTTTCCTGCAGATCCTGGATGAGGTGGAGAAGCGGCATCAGATCTCCATGGCCGTCATCTACCCGTTCATGCAGGGCCTGCGGGAGGCCGCCTTCCCCGCTCCCGGCAAGACTGTCACCCTCAAGAGCTTCATCCCCGACTCGGGCACCGAGGTGGGTTCAGTAAAGAGGTGAGACCCGCTCTGGCTGGAGGGGGCAGGCTTCTGCGGCACGGCCCCTCGCAGCCCTGCAGCCCTTCATTCTCTGGTTAACATGCAGACGCACTGAGCCGGGCAGGGGCTGGGTCTGGCTGGAATTACCGTCAGAGCTGAATATCCAGCCCACACTTTCCCATCCTCCCAACCGGCCACTCACAAGGCCTCGTCACTCACTATTCAAGCCACCAAGACTTGTATTTGTAATAAATAAACCACGTGAGCCGAGGTTCCTGGTGCCAGATGGACTTTGCCCCCAGCCCCCGACCTGCCACTGGCCCCGGCGCCCCACCCTCATCCTTCGGTGTCTGCGCTCTAGCTCTACCTGAGGCCTCCATCTGTCCATTTCTTATCACCCCTCCCCGCCCCTGAGTCCCCTCCCAGGCCACACGGGACGCCACTGTTTTGAGGCAGAACTTTGTTTTAAGAATTCCACGCTGACCCCTATTCCTCTGGGTAATCCGTGTCCCTCTGAACCTTGGCTTCTCCATATAAAATCAAGGTGGGGGTGGGCTGGGCTTTGTCACTTGCTCAGAAAATAAGTAGGGCGTGCTTGCTGGGCCCCGAGCTGACCGATTTCCTGGCTGTAAAGTGAATACAATGAACATGACCCCTGACCTCATGGAGCTAAAAGTCTAGTTGGGGGAGACGGACGTTCAATAAGGAAACAGACAAATGCATAATTAAAAAATTGTATGATTTGATGAAAGGGAAAAAAACCAGGATGCTACAGAGAAAGGACAGAGAGCACACGTTGCTTTAGGTGGCCAAGGAGAGCCTCTGAGACTAGGGGGGGCAAGAACTTGGGAGGAGGGGGGTCCCGGGGGCCTCACCTGTGCAGGATGTCCAGCCAGAAAGAGCGTGACGTGCTCGGGGCACAGGAAGGAGGTGGTGGGGAAGCGGGCCAGGAGGTGGAGTGGGCTCCGTGAGGCTGGCAGGGAGGCAGGGCCTCGAGGGCCGTGCTATCCCCAGGGCGGAGGGAAACCACGGGTGGGTTTAGCGCGGGAGAGACAGGATGGGGTTCACTCCTGCGGGGACCATGGAGGCTGGCGGAGGCCCAGCGTCCTGGGGTCTGCGTGAGGCTTCCGTGTGACGACACCCTCTCTGGTTTCCCCAAGTTCATCTCCCTGACGCGGCCCCTGGACTCCCACCTGGAACACGTGGACTTCAGTTCTCTGTTGCGCTGTCTCAGCTTCGAACAGATTCTTCAGCTCTTCGCCTCCGCGGTGCTGGAGAGGAGAATCATCTTCCTGGCAGACGGTCTCAGGTGGGTCCAGCCACCGAGCGGCTCAGCCGAACGGGCTGGCGTCCTCGGGTTCAAGGGAACAGCGGAGGGTCCCCAGAGGAGGTCAGGCTGTAGGGCCCGTGTGCCCGCCCTCCTGCCTCCGGGTCTGGACTGGCACTAACCTGCTTCTGCCCTCCAACTTGGCTGCTGTCTAGGCCTGAGGAGGCTTCTGACCGAGCTCAGAGAAGGCCAGGAAGTGTCCTGGGGATGGCCCCGGCGGAGAGCGTTAGGGTGGATGCAGATATGACTCTGCTCTTGACAGGCTCAGGGCAGGAGGCATGCAGTGGTATGGAGGTCAAGGCCAACATCCTTAATGACAAGCACATCTACCCATTCACTCACGCATTCAACAGACACGCATGTGTGAACTGTTTGTCGGATGCCAAGCCTTCGGGAGGATACAGGCAAACAAGACATGGCCTTTGACCCGAAGGGGATGTAGAATTCTGTCGTGGGTGGAAGTGTAGGTTTTGAATCAGCACAAAGAGGTTCAAGTCCTATTCTTAGCTGCGTGGTTCTCTTAAGTTAGCTTCTTAATTTCTTGAAGTCATGATCTTCTTATCTGTAAAATGGAGGAAGCGACTGTCTGTCTCGTGAGGTTGTGGTGGGGATTAAATGAAATAGTTCACATTAGGCAGCCAGCACCCTGCCAGGCACAGATTAGTAAGTGTGAGCTATTATTCTTTCTTAAAAATATATTTTTTTTATTGATTTCCGAGAGAAAGGGAGAGGGAGAGAGAGATAGAAACATCAATAAGGAGAGAGAATTATTTATTGGCTGCTTCCTGCATGTTCTCCCCCCACCCCACCCCAAGGGGGATCGAGCCCACAACCTGGGCATGTGCCCTGACTGGGAATCAAACCATAACCTCCTGGTTCATAGGTTGACACTCAACCACTGAGCCACGCCGGCCGAGCTGAGCTGTTATTCATAATAATAACTTCGCAGTTGAGTTTACCCCTGTGTGTGTTGAAGTGGGGCATTGCCATGTCTTGGTCTCTACCTCTTAGGGCCTTTGAGTCTGAGAAAGACAAGGGGAGACATGACAGGATGGAGAAGGAAAAAAATACCATCAGAGAGCTGGCGGTTGGCCTTCTGTTCATGTCTGCGGAGGGAGGATACTGGTTGACAACTCCGGCTCTGTCTTTCAGGGAAGAGGAAGGAAAGGATGTTGGGAACCCAGCTCTTCGGCCAGAGAGGGTCAGGTGGATGTCATGGCGCTCAGAGACAAGGAAGCTCGGGCAGGGAGTGGGGTCTGTGGGCTGAACATTCTATAAAAACCAGGGTCAACACAAAGGCACTAGTTGTGAGCTAGTCCTTGAGGGAAGTGGTGTAACCCTTCGCTCTGGAACCAGCTTTTCCCCGCTCAGCCCTGTAGGGAAAGAAGTTTCTGTGTGGCTGGAGCTGGGGTGCTGGCCTTTCCCCCTAAGATCGGTGCCTGGGAAGTGAACATGACCGCACGGGTCAGCTGGCCGGCCAGGGCCAGGGCCAGCAGGACTTGCCTCTCGGACGTTGACTTTCTCCAGGGAGATCCCATCTCTCCCCACTTCCTTCCCACACCATCTGTCAGATCCCTGAAACGCAGGGCGGGGGGAGGATGGAGCACTTCCAGTTAGCCTCGGCCTTGGCCGGCTCTCTGAGCCAGTCTCTCTCGGGGAGTGCTGGTTGATACCAAGAACGGGAACGAGGTTTCTGCATCCGTGTGTTTATTGACTCCGGTGTGGGGGGCAACCAGGAGAAATGAGGAGCCATGAAAGCCAGTGGGGGACAGAGAAGAGAGAGAGTGGGCTGTGTGCTGGCGTGAGTGGCCGGGAGTTGGCCCTGCGCTGTGACCAGGCAGCGATTACCCGGTGCTTTGTAGGAAAGGGCAGAGCCCCTCTGCGGGACTTTCCGGGAGGAATTGCTGGGCGAGGTTCCGGGAATCTAGGAATTTCCCAGGCACTCAGGCACCAACCTGGAGTGGCTGGGGAGAGCTGGAGAGGGAAGGCCTGGGCCGGGCTGGAGAGATGCGAGGAGGAAACAGGCCTGGCCTCTCTGCTGCCTGGTGTTTACTTGTCTGCCTCCTCGGCTGCACTGCGAACTCCGAGAAGCAGGGCCACGTCTCCCAGTTCCTGGCACCCACATATTTAGGACCGTGCTGAGCGCATAGAAGGGGCTCCATCGGTGATGGGTTCGAGGGAAGGCTTTTCTCCCCTCTCCGCTCCTTAGAGCCACTTTTGTTGCTGAGAAATCTCATAACAAATAAAGGCCCAATGCAGGCCCATCCTGGAGAGGGGCCCTCGCCCCTCCTGCCCCCGCCCCTCCCCTCCCAGCTGTGAGTAGTCCCAGGGACCAGCGTGGCTCCCAGCCGGCTTGCTGCACCTGCTGTGGGTGGTGGGCAGCGTGGAGGTGGCGGGGTGGGGCGCAGGGAGGCCCCTCTAACTCTCATCCCTGTCGCTGTCCCCAGCACCCTGTCGCAGTGTATCCACGCCGCCGCCGCGCTGCTCTACCCCTTCAGCTGGGCACACACCTACATCCCCGTGGTCCCCGAGAGCCTCCTGGCCACTGTCTGCTGCCCCACGCCCTTCATGGTGGGAGTGCAAATGCGCTTTCTGCAGGAGGTCCTGGACAGCCCCATGGAAGAGGTAGGCACCAGCACCGGGAAGCCGTGGCTCGGGGCCGGCGGACCTGGAGTCGGATCCCAGCCCTGCTCCTCGGGGCGGTGTGATTTGGGTCAGGTTGCTTCACCCGGTTAAGCCTGAGCTGCTGCTTTTGTAAAACGGGGGTGCCAGCGTTCAGTGCCCTGGATTCCAGGGGAAATCACCCGCCTAAAGCTCCCCGCCTGAGGCCTGACACGTAGTTGATGCTCCGTAAGCGTCAGCTCTCTGCTCCTTCGGGCTTCAAGCACGTAGCTTGTGGAGGGGTCATCTGACTGTCCGGGGCCAACTGGCCCCCCTGAGCGGGCCCTGGGGGTCCCCTGCCCCATCTGAACGGGTAAGCACAGCTGGGTTTTGCAGCACACAGCCCACTGGAGTTCCCGCACATTCCTTGGACATGAGCTCACTCATGCAGCCCCGCTGAAAGCTCAATCCTGAACAGGCAGATCTTTGGAGCAGGAGTTGGTCTTTCTGAGTGGCTGAGAGGTCCGTTGGCAATCAGGGTAGAGCCCTTCGATGTTGTCAGGGCCCCCCGAGCGGGCATTCCTGGCATGCAACGGTCTCCCGTGTTGGAGGGACAACTCAGGACACGTGTCCTGCTTGGAGCTGCCAGGAGGAAGTTTCAGGGAGAACATGTTACTCACCTGAAGTGAGAAGAGCTACTTCGGGGGGGGCGGGGGGGGGCACTGCTTAACCTTGACTCTGTGCAGACAAAGGGCCAGCCACAGGAGAGGCTAGCAGTGAGCTGCTCCAGAGGCCTGGAACCAGCCCCTGTGGGAGGACGTCCCCAGGTGCATGACACCACGGAAGTCCAGAGAGCTCACTGGGCATTTCCGAGGCCACACAGGCAACGCCGGGCCGGGCCGGGCCGGGGCACAGGGAGCGGACCCCAAGCCCCTCTTCCACTGCGTGTTGCTGAGAAGGAAAGACATGTTTTCCTTCCTCACTTCCTGGCCCTCCCAGCCCTTCTCAGAAGTGCTGAGTACACACGCCCTCTGAACGAGCCTTTGCCTTGTGACTCACTGGGACAGAGGACCAGCCCGTGTTTAGCAATCAGACTTCAGTGTCCCAATACCATCAGTTATGAAACTTCCTGACGCTGCAGCCCAGCTTCTCAGAAGCCGGGCTCCTCCCCGGGACGGCCAGGCAGGAAGGCTTCCCGAGGCCGAGGCCAGCGGCGCTGGCTCCTGCCATCCCGGGCCTGGGCCTCTTTCCCGCCTCCGCAGCTGCCCTGTGAAGTGGGCAGGGGCTACTGCGGGTGTGAGGGGATTCCCTGACCCCCCACAGAAGCTCCCGGGAAGGGATTCTTTGACAGTAATATACCCCAATGCTAGGAAGATTTGGGGGAACGACTTCACAGAAACATTCTTCACCCACAATCTTAGCTCCCAACCCCCCAAACAAACAGGCTTCCCCGAGTGAAGGTACCTGAGCCCATGTACACAGTGGTTTCAGGCCCGGACTAGTTCACCTTTTCTCCCCTGAGGACGGGTAATTACAGCGCCGGCTCAGTCTCTTGGCACACTTGCCAGTCCCTCTTTTTCCTTTTATTTGGAAGAAGGGAGCACGGGGGGGTGGGAGGTGGGGGGGAGGATCATTCACCCCATTGTCACGAGCAAACTGAAAAGAGGAGCCCAGTAGGCATTTCAGTGACCAGCAGGTTTGGGTGGGGGGCTGGGGGAGGGGGTTATGGCAAACTGTTGAGCCCACGCCCAGCCCAAATGGGGCCACTGCACTCAGTTCTCTCTGAATGTTGTCCTTTAGAAATGAGAACCAGTGTTAGACTTCCTGACTTTTTAAAATATATTTTTAATTGATTTTTAGAGAAAGAGGAGGGGAGAGGGAAAGAGAGAAACATCGATGTGAGAGGGAAATACCGATCGACTGCCTCCTGTGCGTGTGCCCTGACCAGGAATCTAACCGGCAGCCTTTGGGTGCCCGGGATGATGCCCAACCACCTGAGCCACACCGGCCGGGGCGTAGACTCCCGACTTGTGAGGAGAAACCCCCAATCCAAATTTTATGTGAAAGGCTCCAGCGTAAACATTGGCAGTGAATTCAGTTATTTGAGAACACTCTGAGGATCCAAGGAGCAGCTCTGCAGGTTGGAATCCAACCAGTGGGATGTCTGTTTGTGTTGTCTGGTCTAGACGGAAGGCCCCTCAGGCGAGTGATGGAGCTGGTACCGGAGCTCAGGGCCCCCGAATTCCAGGCCCCCTAGTTCCAGCCCCGTGCTTGTCTCACCTGCAGCCTGCAGGCACGTGGTCTCCTCACTGCCTTTCCTTCTGTCTTCCTGTTGACCCTGCGCTCATTTCCTTCTCTCCCTGTTTCCCGAAGCTCCGAGGGAGTTTTTAGGCTGTTGCAAGAATGGAGAGGTGAAATGATGCCCATCCTGTCCTAAGCTGACCAGGGGGAGGGAGCTGAAGGCGAGAGTGGGGACAGGGGTGCAGTCCTGAGGCCTCGGCACTAGAGGCGTGGGCTCTGGCTCTGCTGTTTGTTAGCCGTAGGACCTCAGGCAGCTTCTGTGAGTTGGGTTAGTACATGCCCCCACAGGACCGTTGGGAGGATTATATGCGACACACGTGCAAAGCACCTACCTTGTTCTACATGTTCCATATTTAGAAGCAGTTAGTCTACTCAGGGCTTCATGAAGGGAGTGACTGGGTATGATTTCCTCATCTTGTATCCCCTTCTAGCTCAGCTCTCTCCCATCCCTCTTCCTAGACCCTCACACCCTTTCCCCAGGAAAGGAACTAAGGTTTCCAAACAGGAATGGGGAGAAAGGAGTGTCTGACCGAAACGAGCACCGAAGATGCTCATTTGCCTGCTATTCCCAACCCCTCAATGGGCTGAAATGGAGGTGGCGGGGCCTCCGGACGTCTGTGACGACGGGGGAAGAGATAAAGCCATTCTGTGTTTATTGCAGGTCCTGCTGGTGAATCTTTGTGAAGGAACCTTCTTAATGTCAGTGAGTATCTGGGTTCAGACCCCCTGCAGGCCCACCACCAACTCCATCACTCCCATTTCATCCATGTTCAGGCCCACCACCAACTCCATCACTCCCGTCTCATCCATGTTCAGGCCCACCGCCAACTCCATCACTCCCGTCTCATCCATGCTTGCTCATCTATGTTGAGCGAGAACCCCTCTCAGGGGGCCCATGACACACGAAAATCGCAGGTGACCGACCTCGTGGCTGGGCAATTAGTGTTGGTGCCTCAGAGCAGGGGTGTCAACCAGGAACCACAGGGGTGGAGAGGGGACTTGCTGACACTGAGTCCAGCTGAAAGACCAAGAAACGGCTTCTGTTGTTTCTCACCTATGTGGCCGATTATTAATTTGGGGGTGAGTGGGGGTGCAGACACACCCCCCTCTCTGCCAACACCCCACTCACACCTCCTCCCCGACTCTGTCCTCGACTAGGTCGGTGACGAAAAAGACATCCTACCTCCCAAGCTTCAGGATGACATCTTGGAGTCTCTCAGTCAGGGGATCGATGAGCAACAGAGTAAGTCCCGGGCCCCTCTTATTGTGGGGTTCTCCAAGGCCCCGAGGGCTTGGTCCCAACCCTCCCCTTCCAGAACTAAAATGAACCTGCTCTGCAGGCCTGGGCCAGTCCCTGAGGCCTGGATCCCAGGGCGAGTCAGAGATTTTATTCTTCCTAAGCAATGGTAGAGAACCCATACCCAGCCTCCCACCTTAAAGAGTCCGTCAGTAATTATGACCCCCGCCCCACC